GACAGTTAATTCATGAAGAATTCGCACATGAGGTTATGTTAATTTGTCTCGGTTTGAACCAAGAGTTCGATATTTTATCGAATGACGTAGTGTAGTCACTAAATCAGTCTATCAAGGTTATGATGAGAATAGCAATAGATTGGACATGCCCACTCCCCACGTCCGTCTATCGAACGACCGCGCCATATGTGTGACTTTTTTCGCGGGCCACCATCAATCTAAAGTTTCTAAATCGTCGGGTCCACAAAATAAAAATAAAAAAACTGGTGACATCCGGTCCATAACATCCGGTGATCTGGATACGACGGATATTCGGTCAGTTCGAATAGCCAACCGCAATGAATCGGATTTCCGCGTGTAAAAATTAATTGAATATCAAAGCAGGAAATGTGTTTTTAGGATTCGCTTCATAGTTTTATCTGTTGTAATTCATCTGTACATATTTCTTTTAGCATAAATAGGTCCAATGGACTACGAGAGAAGGAGCGAACTCAAGCACGCTATAACACGCTGGCGGTGAAAGTACCAAACCATGTCTTTCGTTCGCAATGTTAAAAAATCCAGGCGCCCACTTAATTTTTCCCTCTTTGAAGGAGAACAAATCAACACCATTCCATGAAACTTCTACAGAATTTTTTACGCACAGGGGAAAGAAAACCATGACAGTTTTGAAGAAATAATGTTGAGTTATGGTCTTCCATTTAAAAATTAAAGTCTGGCAGGAGGTTTGCAACGTCGCAAAGCGAGACATGTGGCTTAGGAGCTTCTCCATCAGTTTTGTGAAGGAGTGACCCTCAAATACATCACCGAATTCCGATTCTCATCGAAATTTAATCAGTGGAGCGGGTAGGAGCAGGTGGCGTTATCCTTGTTCGACGTTTAATATTGCTCGGCTGCATGCGAATTGAATTGATATACTTCTTGAGTGAAGTAATCATCACGAATATATGCATCCCTGATAGATAACGCGGATGATAATTTTATGCATAGTTTTTCCAAACTTTCAAAAATGTTACTTTTTGCTTCATTACTAAATTCAGAAATCGGAACTCTACGAGGAGCTGACTTTTCTGATTGCTGCAGTAAAATTGTTCAATTTTCGAGATGGCAAACAATCGGTGCTTAAGTTCAAGTAGGTAAAAACATCTTCCGCAACATCCGCACCTGAGAAAATTGGGCAACTGCAGCCAAGATTTCGGCCCGGACAGCCGAAATTTGATACACGCGCCGAAAAAAGGGGGTTGTATACGGGGATTGGGAAGGAGACCCAAATTGGTGTAAGAAATTGGTACTACACAGCAAACTTAATGAAGTTGTACTCCATCGGATCGAATCAGCCCAAATTAACTGGATTACAACTCCAATAAGTTGGAGGGCAGTGCCAATAAGGTTTTGTACCTCACCAATTCGGGATAGATGATCCGAAATTATACGACTCTTTTTTCTGAGTGTACGATTTCCAATCATTCGGCATAATATGTGGCGAGCAAATAGCAATTCATGGGAATCTGCAAGCGGTTCACGTGTTCTTTCGGTAGATCGCAATATTGCGCATCGGAACAATGAGGGTGTGACGGATAATGACCTTCAAAAACATGACCTCAACTTGCAGCGCCTTCATCTTGTGTGATACTTCACGCTTCGTCACGGAGTTAGTTTAGTTGCTCGGGCGATCTAAACCCAACTAAGGTCACGCACCTCACTACACGTCCTCTGAAGGGTACCTGGGTACCTGCTACTACCATGTTCTTACGGAGGATTAAGTGTCTTTTCACATTAAAGGCAGAATAATCTCCAATCTGAACTTGTTCCTTTATTTCTGAATTATTTTACGCGTCTTCTTTTTATTCTCTAGTAGGTTGCCAGTTGCCAGCGATTGCTGATTGCCTGTTCCTTATATCGAGGTTTCAGTAATTTTACCGATTTCCGGCAGCCAATATCGATAATAATCTAGGCTCCAACTGCCGAGATTTTCGGAAACTGAGCAACAACTTTTTTCCGTGAAGCTCGGAAAGATGCCTCACTCTTCGCGACAGAATTCGGCAGCCGCGGAAAGAGGCTAGGCCAACACGTGGGTTGGATCGTCCCAGGCCTGTCTCATCGCATCGCATATGAAAGTTGCCAAATATTGCATCACCACGCTATTAATTTAGTGCGTTCCCCCGTGAAAAATTCGATAAAGAAAAAGCCTCTGTGGCAACTAGGTGCTTGCCGATCAAAGACGTCCATTCATTCCCCGGTGAAGCTGTTTGTTGACCGACTGTAGCCATTTGACTGACAGTTAACCGACCAATCAAATCGATTTTTCTGCTTATAGCCCAATTATAGCTCCGTCTGGATCCGGCCAGGGCACGGTCTGGGCAAACTGTCGTCAAATCGCACACATACAATGGACCACCAGACAAGATGCAAATTTAAGCATTCTGATACCCGTTTTTTTTACCACAATTTCACGTAGAACACAATTTGCGCAGCGAAAATTACTGTTACAAACTCCTGACTAAGAGAGTTAATGTTTGTGGATGTGTGATGCGTGATATAATCATTCTTGCTCATGAAAAAACAAAATTCTACGTGGGTCAAATCGCACACTAAACGTCACCGGACAGTCTTTGCAGTGTATGAAAAGTTGCAACCTCCATTTCGGCGCTTCGGCACAGCTGTTGCAAGCTATTTACACTTTGAACAACACAAGGTAGGGAGGAAACATTAGTTAACTAAGAAGCCCCCCAAAACTGTAGTAGAGCGGTTTTATTTAAGTGGACTATTGTTTTTTTTTTGGGTGTTTTTTCGGGGTTTTTTTGGTGTTGTGAGCGGAGGAATCAAAATTTCCGTGACCAATGTAAACTAAAACCGTTAATATCCAAGTTCGGAGTTTGATTTCAGTAATTTTTATGACGCGGAACCATAATCTGTTTACACGTGAAATTTTAATTTGGGGAATATGTGTCAGAATGGAAATTTGCACCTTGTCTAGTGGCTCATTGAAGATCCATTCATTTTCCGGACCTCGAGTCGGTTATTAAACCTCAATCGGTAGCTTGTCGAGATTCGGCGATCGATAGATAATATCGTAAGATCTCACCAACGCGACGAAGCCACGCCAAATGGAACAATGAATTCTTAATACTTGACTTTCAGGTGTAGAGGTGAACAGGCATAAAAATAGGATCGGGGAGGAAGCTTAAAGCATTCGTTGACTGGAAACGATTTGTTCTAGGATGGATTTTTAGAGGTTTAAACAATTTAAAACCACGAGGCAACTTATTAAGAACAAAAACTTTAAAAAAATCATTTCAAAGAATAAAAGACAACAAATTTAAAGAAAAAAATTAAAGTAAAATGAAGAATTTGTTGACTAGTGGAAGTCAGAGAACTGAGTCTGCACATATGAGAAAAGAAAAGTGAGTTATGAGATGAAAAGATTTTTTAAAAAAGCAGGAAGAAACAAAAAGAGTCACTAGAAAGTCTAAAAAGCTCAGAAATTAGTTAGCAAATATCAGAAAAAGAAAAGGTAAAGTCAGGAAATTTCCCATTGCATTCTTGGGGAGAAACAGTTTTACTTTGTTTAAAGGGTGTCAGGAAAAATTGTTATAGAACGTTATACTTTTAAAGCTTATCTTAAATATCCATTCATTATGAGACCATAGTTGCCCCGAAATGGTAGCCTCACTTCATATAGAATACGGAACAGAGAAAGAATGTTTGAATAATAAAATTCCATGAATTTCCAGCAAGTTAGGGGCAAAAAAAATTTGGTTACCACCTCCGTGCCAGCTACCTCTTTTTCGTCTTCAAGTCTTATTATTCTCGAAATATGCAATTACAATTATTACGGCTCCTGTGGGGTTGCATTTGCCTATACCATCAATTGAAGGAAAATTTGTGCTTCTTTCGGAAACTAAATGCAGCAACCAGTACACGAAACAGCGAATACTAAACTAAAGTATTCGGGACATGGTAAATCCACTTCAATTTATACGTTGACATCTATACAGACTTACTTTTAAATTGAAAAAAATAATAAATTCTATTCGATTTTCACGCTCAGAATGAGACTAGAAACAAGGACGCTGAAATATAAACCAGACAGATTCAACGAAAAAAGAGAACCAAATCACATCAAGATCGGATCGAGCTAGGGAGTTTGAAGAACGACAATTTTCTCGTTTAGAAACCTTTTTCCTCCACTTTGGATATTTGTTAGGAGCACATTTAAAACTACTGAAATTCAAATCTACTCCCAACTTATTTTCCTCAAAAATATTTTTTTCAGTGCATTTTGGGGGTAAAATAAATTGGGAGTAAATTTGAATTTCAGTAGTTGTAAATGTTGTCCTATTCGATTTTCAAAGTCGAGAAAAAATATTTTTGAACGAGAAAATAGATGCTCCTCAAACCCCTCAGCTCGTTTCGATATTGATGTGATTTGGTTCCTTTTCTCAGTTAAAATCGGTCCGGTTTTTATTTCAACCAATGGTATGGTAAAATTAAATGATATTGTTTCTGCTCTCATTCTGAGCGTGAAAATTGAATAATGCTACTTCGTGCGTTTCTGTTAAACTTCTGCCAATGGGCAAAATCGAAAAGTCGTTTTATGTTCGAAACAACAAAATGTCTCCGTTTTTTTCTTGATTTTTTTACGCGATTCTGAACAACCAATGAGAAAGCAAATTCCAATATTAGGTCAGAAAACAGCGTTGCTTTTTTGAACAACATGAAAACGACTTGCTTTGAGCATGTTGCAGTTGTTGCGCAACAATGTTGCTGTAGGAGTTCCCAAAGTTTGCGCGCGAATATAAGCCCCGCCCCCCCAACACAAAACATCTTCGAACGAAATGCGATTGTTGCTTGTTTTCACAACGTGTTGCGAGTGTTGCCTCTGAACAAAATGCGACTAAACTTTCTTTAGGAGAATTTTGTTTTTGGCCTATAGCGGTTGGTATTTTCAATCACATTCAATCGCAAAAATTCGCCTGAAGAAGCTTATTTTCTCTTACCTGGTGTCATTCGGATGTCCGTCCTGGTTGACATATCAATGGCGGTGTCCTCGTAACAATCTAGTTCCTCTCGAGGCCCAGTTCTTGCATCCTCCTCTTCTGCCTGTTCACTCTCAGAGCGGCCTGTGACGTCTGCATCCGCTTGGGCAAGGCTCTCGTGAGTCGAGGAGTCCTTCCTGAGGATGTCCACGATGGAAAAAGGAGTGACTGCCGGCTGATTGGCTTTCTCCTCTACAGGTGTGTCACTTCTCAATTCATTTTGTTGGCAATTTTCATCCATTTTCCTCGAGGTTTGAAATTGCTCACTATCGAAATATTCACATCTGAAAACAAGCGTGACAACGTGTTTTTAAACAACTTTGGTGTGTCCGGAAATTAACCAATGAGGACTTATCTGTAACAATAGCGGATGTGAAAAATTACCTTTTTGAAACACGCTTAAAAAACTGTTTTGTTCACACACAAATTCAATATATTTGGCTCTGGCATAATGTACAGATCTCGAAGATCACATCTCAAGTATTTTCTCAAAATTTTCTCGATGCCGAAACAGTTTTTTGGATTTGTTTCGCAAAGGTAATTTTTCACATCTGCTATTGTTACAGATAAGTCCTCACATACACCGATAAAAACATCGTAGAGTGCATAAGAAGAGTCGTAATGTAAATGGGAGAGGTGGCGCCATGCTCTGGTTTACAAATTCCGAGCCAGCTGTACGCCGAGTTTCGGTCACTTTTTCGATACTTTTTCGATCCAAAATGGCGTGAAAATACGTAATAATTCTTATCATCTTCGTTTACATCGGATTACCGGGTCTTCGTGTCTCGAAAACAATCGATTATGTATCTGAAAAGTGACACAGGAATCTCGGAATTCGGGACCTGGAAAATGCTTAAAAATGGCGCCACCTCTCCCATTTTCATAACAACTGTGCTCTATGAAAAAGATTCGTGTACTTGTGTTGTACTCTTGGTTAATATGAGAAGTGAAACACAAACGACCACAATTTTTGTGTTGATTTTCGCAGAAAACAATGGAGGGACTGGGAAAATGTATACCTCGTAGTGTGACATTGGTATTCACCACTCGTTTTTCTTAAATTTCCTCGAGGAAAACAGCGGCATTTTCTCTTGAAATGTCAATCGAATGCTAGGGTTATTTTGTGTTTTACTCCCCGTACTAACCAAACTTTTGTGTTGAAATTTCTCTCTGTATACCTTAATAGAGACCTACATGCTTAATACATTACAAACAAAACAAAAAAAAATTCCGTTTCACCAACTCCTGAGAGTAAAGAATTCATTAAAGTTCATAACATGAATTAACAACTAATCTAATTTAAAGCAGAAATCAAGAGTCAGCTAACAAGGTGTCATTAAAGAGGCCGGCAGTTGATTCAAAGCGTTTTTTAGTGTTATTCATAATCTTCATAATCTACTACATCTATTGTCTTTAGTTTCATAGAGAACGGCTCCAGTAAAGTGAGAGTAATAAAGCGATATAAATTTATGATGATAAAAAAAAACAATAAAAAAATCGATGAAGTCAGGTGAACATCATGTTTCCGTTTGAGTTCTGCGTTAAACTCCATTTTAAAGCACGCTTCATCGATGGTTAAACCAGAAAAGTATCTTTTAGAATTCAGTGTCTGGACGTTTCTGGACATTTTCGCAAATACGTTTGTATGTTATTTTTAGAGCAATAATACCACTTCTTTAAAGAGCAAAAAAATTAATAGGAAAAACACTGCAGTATACGTGGGGTCGCGCTTAAAAGAAGTGAAACATCAAGGAAATATTTAAACGTCGCGAACAGAAAAAAAAATTCTTCTAGTTTCACCACCAATATGCACTTACATCAAAATTATATAAAAATATCAGTAGAGTCGTAGAATATTTGTTTCAAGTAATGTAAATCATGTCCATATTTTGATCATTTTCGCGTTATCTTAGGATATAACGAAAGAGTGAAATTTTGCAGGTTCGCAAATGGTCGCGTCACGTTGTTGTCTTCTGCATTATTCCGACTGCTGGTTTTTTTAACCTATGAATACCGTTTATATGATGCATTTAAGAATCCAACAAATATTTCAATAAAATAGATATATTTTCTGTTGTGCTTGTGCTTTAATTGTATTTGGACCGCGTTAAACAGAAAGGAACCAAGCGACATCAGCTATTGGCAAATTTAATTGGGCAATTTAATTTTTTACATGAAAACGGTTCTGCAGATTTTCGTGGAGATTGAAGTGAAAATTCTCCATAATTTGAAGCAAATGCCTTAAAAATTTCAAAGGAATTCGCACAAACGTACTCTCGTAAAAAATTGTATTGCCCAGTTAAATTTGGCAATAGCTGATGTGGCTTGGTTCCTTTCTGTTAAACTCGGTCCATTTATGCACCATATGTGCTTGTAGATATATTAACATTAAAATTTTTGTTCGCATAGGCAATTAATTTCAAATAATTGAGTTCTGACAGTCGACTGTATGTATTTTTCCATGCGATGAGGGAGGATAAGAAGGGAACAAGCTAATCTTGAGCGTTAATGAGTTGAAAGTCAAAAAAAGAAAAAAAAATCAATGTGGAAAATGCGGAGTGAGATTGAAAAACGGACGAGAAAAATAATGTGTTCTGGCATAGAATTTTAGACATCTCGGACCTAAATGCTGATCTAGCTAATCTCATGATCGATTTTACCTATACTTGAAATTTAAAATTAATTGTTCGGGCAGCTAGCATTTTGGTCTCATTAGACATAATATTGACGTAAAAAATGCTGTCCAGCATATTATTTTATCCTGTGTTCAACAGCTTTGCAACTTTGGTCATTTCGTATTGCAGATCTTCATTCTCGCTTTCGCGCGTCACTCTCAAAATAATTTTTCCATTTATTTTCTCGAAGATACTCTCAGAGTCCAAAATATTTCGAGTGAACCACTAAAAAGCATAAGCTTTCGGCATGTTAATGGGATTTCTTCTTGTTTTTGCAAAAAAATATTGCCTTAGAAATTGCACTTTTCTGTGAGAAATTATTCACGGAAAAGTGCAACATGCCGCCATATTTTGTGACAATTAATTTTATATTTTCAATAGCTACGAAGCATTAGCGAATTTCTTCATATCTTTAAAATCTCACGTTTAAGCTTTTACACTGGATATTAATTTTCGTTATTTAATAAAAACAAATTTCTTAAGAATTGAATTCCTCCACAACCGTATCTCAAAAATTTACCTCTTCTTGAGTAAAGTTTTATAAGTGAGTAAATTCCTCTGTTTTTTCTCAACACTCAAAAAAGCCACCAGCACAATAATGTCAAGGATAGAAAAGCATGGTAGTTAACAAACTCTCATTCACTCAAGGCCGAGATTCAAAACTGGTCATTGAAAGCAATAAAGTGCAAATCAGATAAAAAATCAGGCAATGTAATCAAATTGCAGAAAAAGTAAAGCTAACACTGGCAATGCTATTATTGCTTCAGAGCCTAGTTTTAGTAAACCACTATTAATTTTTTTCTTTTCTCTGTGTCCGCACTCCTCTTTCGTGAAAGGTTATGACCAATTGAATCATAGAAAAAGGGTAAATGTATTGGGTACCATAGAAACATGAATTATATGTAAAAATCAGTCAAATCTCTAAAAATTATTTCTTCAATTAAAAGATACAAATTATTGATTTTACATTCTAATTGAGTAATGAATTCCAGTACTACGATTCAATTCTTATTTACAGCCTAGAGTAAATTTTCCCTTCGGTCATTAAAAAAAGTCTCTGAGAAAATAAGTTTAGAAAATAGTCAGAAAATTAACCATGGCGTCTCGAGGTAGAGAAATAAGAAGTTTTTTGCGTAAGCAAACTCTTTCAAAGAACATTGTATCCTGAATATGAGTAGGCACATGTTTCTCACTTTTTCCGTTTTTTTTTGACAAGATTTGCACGCGATCGCAATCAGTTCTTACCTGAAGATGAGCCAAGTTAGCTCGAAATGATAATCGTCAGAGAAAACCCATCGAAACATATCGCATCGGGACAAAAAAAATGAGTAGGTAAGTTCGTACATCAATTATAACGTCTCACCACTAGTATTTGCAATTTTACTCTTAAGCGCCTTTTCAAGCACAAGGAGTTTATGATTGAGATGTAAGATTTCTCAATTAATCAAGGAAATCGTGTAAAAGGCTAATCGAATGTGTAATTTCAAAAAAGAGTTTTCTTTAAAGGCCTTTTCTCTCATATCTAAAGATAAAATAAAAAATAAATTAAAAAAAAAAAAAAACTAGTCCGCACTAAAACTATTCCTTGCGATAAAAAAGACTCCTTTCCGCACTTAATAATCAAACATAATTTCCCCCTCTCCCTCTTTCTCAAGGTGGTTACTTTTAATACTGAGAGTTAGTAAATTCTGTTGACACCTCTTCATTGATGTGATTTCAAGATCTCTCATAATAAAGAATAATTCACGATTGGACGGATTCATCGAAATCAGCTTAACTATACCATACGTTGCTTAATTTCCTTCCATGCTCAATTTATTTTCAACCGAGAAGTAATCATCATTCTATCTAGAGATTTTGTGAGGATCATTTTTACAAGCCAGGAGAAATGTGTAGAAAATTACAAGACGTTAAGGGATTCGGCACTCTGTTGAAAAAAAAAAATTGTGAGGGCTTTGTTTTCTTTCTGCTTTTGAGGATCAAGAGGGAAATTTGCTTCAAGATGCACCAAGTGGAGCCGCCGTTAAGAAGGCAACGTGGCAACGTGAAGTGTAGTTAGGTTAATTCCAGTTAAATCGGTCCAAATAATCAGCCTAAAAGTTACAACTAATAAAATCTTCATCCAGAGAAAAGCTGCAAAAAAGGAACATTTAAAATTGCGACTTTTTGAGTTGTCATCGCCTCATTTCTAACCGACAAAAGTAGAAGATGAAACCAGAAAGCAAAGCAGAAGAGGAAAGCAGAAAAAGACAAGCCATCGATAGCTGATACTTTTACAGTGTTTTTACATCAAATAGAACCAATTTAGGAGATGCTGCTCATTAAATTCCAGAAAGTCCAAAATAAGGGCCACCCTACCGGGACACCCCCTAATTTTTAAACAATTTCTCGATGAAAGCTAGTTCAACACCAAGATAGAGGAATGATGCCGTCCAAAGTAAAAACGCCGTATCTCCATTCAACACTTTTTCAATTTCCCTCTGACATACTGCTGTTTTACAAAATACCTAACAAATGTTCATCCTTCATTTTTCAATACAACTCCGCCACACTATCAGGAACTAAAAATTAAGAAATGAACCCTTGTGGCAATCGCATTTTCTTGTGTTAGAGCAGTACGTGCTGGAGGAAATGAAATCATTTTGAGTGGACACGGAAATAAAGGTAGGGCGGGTTAAGTCCCAACTGATGGGTGATATGGACATTCCCAATTAATTGTGGTAATACCCGGATTAGTTGTGGTAGTATCTCGATAAATTAGGTTACCAACCCAAATGTTGCGGTACTACCACAATTCGAGTTGCGGTGCTACCAAAATTAATTGGAAATGTCCACAACGTCCAAAGTTTGGGTAGTAGAACAATTTTGGGGGAAAAAATACATGTTTTTCTTCCTTATTCTTCTTCAGTCAACACTAGGACACGTATTTTATCAATGAGCATTTGGACCCAAGAATACTCCCGATTCTTGATCCCTTTACACTCTGAATGTTGCAATCCCTTCCTCATTATTTGGCTGAAAAACGTTAGGCAAAAAAACAGAAAAAAACTTAGTGTTAACTTTCAAGAATCGCCACAGAATAAATGTACGTAAATTAGAAACGATTTCTACTTAAAATACACTGGAAAAAACACATTGGATCTAGAGTCCAGACTCTTAAAAACATCGACAAGAAAAAATACTCTTGATTCAATCGGATTTTTGCTTAGATCAAGAACCAAGCCTCTTAATTTGAGCAGATTTCCTTTCGATTTAAGCAAAAATCTGATTGAATCAAGAGTATTTTTTCTTGTCAATGTTTTCAAGAGTCTGGACTCTAGATTCAATGTGTTTTTCTTTCCATTGATACCCTGACACTTTTTTTCCGTGGAGTTACGGCGTTTTTGCTGAGGACGGCAGAACGAGGGACGGATATGAAATGAGACTCACCTGCAGCAATGACCAAACAATCGCATAAAACCCGGGCGGGATCCCGTAACGACAAACACAACTCAACGGAGCGAGGGGGGCGCGTATTTGCTCAGATGCACGAGCCGCGGCTGGAAATCAGGAGCTACTCGCCTTGTCGCACCCCTCGCGTCCTCTCTCTCGGCTCTCTGCGGAAGCACCCTCGAAGCTCTCAGCCGAGGGACCAATCACGGGCGCCCTCCGCCACGCACACTCCGCCGCCGGCCAATCACCGCCCTCGTGTCCCCCCGCGACGTTAAGTTTGTTTGCTCAACATTATCCGGGCTATTAGAAATCATAACGCCCGAATGTTATTGCGGACGCGGCTGGCTCCCGGCCAAGGATTACTTGTCGAGTCAATCTCGACCCCCTGCCCTCGCTCTCCTTGCCAGTATGATTTATCTGAATCCTATTTACCTTCTTCACTCCGGGTCGTGCGTGTTTTGTTTACGTGTCCGGGCGATGTGAGCTCCGGTACCGGCCGCAAAGAGCACTGCCGTTTTCCCTCGTTCGTTTTAAGCTCTCATCGCCGAGAGAGCGGGATGGGGTTCTAGAAAAGTTTGATGACGTCAGAAAAAGGGCCCTTAAGGTGGTAAAAACATAAATGAAAGGAAATAATTGTAGCTGAGAGCTGCTAATTGGGGACCAACCAAGAGAGCGGGATGGGGTTCTAGAAAAATTTGATGACGTCAGAAAAAGGGCCCTTAAGGTGGTAAAAACATAAATGAAAGGAAATAACTGTAGCTGAGAGCTGCTAATTGGAGACCAACCAAGAGAGCGGGGTGAGGTTCTAGAAAAATATGATGACGTCAGAAAAAGGGCCCTTAAGGTGGTAAAAACATAAATGAAAGGAAATAACTGCAGCTAAGAGCTGCTAATTGGACGTTTTTAAGCTGGAAGGAATTATGAGCAGTGAATTAAATCCTAGGGAACTATTATTCACGCAAATCCCAAGTGCATAGTTCGTCAAGATTTCGTTATTTAGTACGTCATTTTCGTCCACCTCTGCATTATCTGGTGCAGAAAGCATCTTTAAATTCTAAATTTGGCCCTTTGAAAACATTTCCTAGTTTGAGGAAGAGAAATTGCGACTATGAGAAAAACGTAGATGAAGTTTGCCGGTGCTATCACCAGCATGAAGCGATTGATTTCGTACACTTATACCGAAACATTCATTCAAATTGTGGCTTTACTTACTAGCCCGATGATTTAAAGACTAATAGAAAATTTAGAAAAAATATTTAATAAAGTTTTTTAAGAAATTAAGATATTGGTCATTTTCAAGTGCACCCTCACTTGAAGGTCGTTCATCCAATGGCTTTGTCCTTGAGAAAACGGGATCTGGAAAAAAGGGGGATGCAAGTATCACGGTGAGCAATCGATTTCGCAAACACAGTAATCCTGATCTAATGACACTCTTGATGAAAAATTTGTCGAGGTTCTGGTTTTCCTCGCTCATTGACGACAATTTTCTCGCCTGTTTGATGCGATTGCCCTGTAAATGACAGACCAGCCAGCATGAAGCAACTATTCGATCGTCGAATGTATTTTGTAGCATAACCAGCTGATTGAAGGCTAAACACTCACGCACACAACTGATCTTATGAGGTGTTACTATTACATGCATGTGAGCATTTTATGTTCATGGTCCATTTTACGCATTATTCGATAACGAAATGAGAAAAAATGAATCAGTAATGGACCATGTATTATTCTGAGATATCTATAAACTATATTTATTTTTGATGTCAGGGCTACTCACTCACAGTTCACGGTCTTTTCGCTTGATGGGTTGTTCACACAGACGTCTCCGCCCAAGACTCCGACCCACACCTCTTTTAACTTACAAGTTTTTTTACCTACCAGAATTTTCATAAAGTGTTTATAAACGTATCATCAAATAAAAGTGATTGAAGTTGATATTACACTTACACGGCTCAAAAGGAGATGCAAAATCCGCATACTTTCAAGAATTTTCACATCCCTTGTCCTTCTTTCCTTGTCATCCTCTACAGTGTCTTTGTTATAAGATTCATAAGCCTCACACGTGTTCTTCAAACGCATTCTTCTATTGTCATTCTTGTATTTGTTTCTGAGGAGGACGAATTTTTCCCTTAAATCTAGGTCTTTTAACATATACTCTCCACGCCGCGCCACTTTGTTGAGAGTTAAGCTCTTCCAGAAGCTGAAACAACGTGTGGTGGTTTTTTTCCAACAACTATGTCAAGACACTTATGAACTACGTTTTGCAAAAAGGAACCAAGACGATCACAATATCGCTATGATTGCGCAAATTCTTTCTCCTTGCAAATATAAACTGATCATCGAAACAAGTTTTATCTCCACTCCTAATTGGCTATAATTTCAAGAAGAAAGTTACCTTTGTAAATTGAATTTTTTGCGTGATTTCAGTCATTTAATTGCAAGGAGTGTAAGTATCATAATCCTAGAAACATTGGATTGCTCTTGGTTCCTTTTTGAAACTTGCAATCCATATATTAGAATTTTGAATAGACTTCTGGTTGGTTTAAACTCCCTGAAAAATATGAAATCTCGCTTAACTTGCATCAGCCGTTCCTGCCAGTAGCATTATGAAATGGTATCCTCCTCTAAGGTGTTAATGGCACCAAATAAACGTATCTACCAACCAACCATAGTAGCGCGCTTCACCAACTACTTCTAGTAAAATACACTAATGTGAAAATTTAATCCTGAGAGTGAAAAGTTGTGGGTGAGTTATAGCGTGGGTGATGAGTCTGTGGCAGTGGCGTGGCATGAATTACGATTTATCGATTGTTATGCCTTTTAAACCTATGGAAAAGGATTGATTAATAGGGTGTTCGCAGCGAGCCCCTTAATAATCGATTCTTTACCATAGGTTTAAATGACATAACAATCGATACATCGCAATTCACGCCACGCCACTGGGTGGGCGAGTGGTCCCAGAATCTCATTTTTCAAGTGCAATACGTGGCTTTGTACGGTCGCGTCGTTCAATGTTTAATTAGTATTCGATGTCCTCCTCAAAAAAATTAAGCATTTATATAATTTTTGGTGAAAGTATGAAATTGCAACAATTTTATGCAAAATAAAGCAAAGAAGCCGGCATCGTGCTTAATAAGCACATAGGACTATGTGAGCCTTCTGAGATTCACAAATGCAGGCGTCTAATTATCAGTTTTTATCGACAAGCTGGGTAACTTGTCATGGAACTTTTAGACGAGGCCCATCTTTGCAAATGAAAAGAAAAGAATAAAAATAATCGGAAACTCCATTGGTTCATAATTATTATGAATCCATAATATCTGGCGCCTTAATCACCTACTATCCCTTTCAAAACTTATTTTTGTGTATAGAAATTGAATGAGATTTCAATCTTCTCTCTCACGTAGACCTTGTTTCCACGGGACGTTTCATGGGATTTGTCCCTGGGAAAATCTCACTCGCAAAGTTGGGAAAAATATTGAGTTCGTCAATACTAATCACAGTACCAAATAGAGTCCTTGTGAAGTCTTAAGGGCGACTCAGAGAGAGGAATACGAAATTTTGTTGTTTTGTTGAACTCCGAACAAGCCCAGAACTTGCATTCCTGCAATTCGAAATTGGGACAAATCCCATGAAACGTCCCGTAGAAACAAGGCCTAAGTATGTTCGCCATTCTGAAATAAAGGAGAAATATCAATACAGGATAGATATTGATATAATCTAAGCGGAGCTTAACGTAACACATCGAAATAATCTCTTTCCCCCTTTTTCTCTATTTTTATCGAAGGCACGGAGTCACTGTAAGAGAAAATTCTAACAAAAATATAAAAATCGCATGATTTTATCTCTAAATTATAGTTTAATATCAGCACCTCGGAGCTGAAAGGTACCTAACTTACATTTTTTTAAAAAACCGAGTCAAGTTAGCTTCGTTTTGGAAACCTCCAATCCAATACATACATACATACATTAAGTCTCTTTCACAGCGCCGCCTGGCGCTCTACGACGCCCAATCGCCATTGCCCCCTATCTTCTCAGAGATCATCAGGTAATTAGCACCTTCTGATCTCGAATCCAATGACGTTTCCATTAAAATTCCGTTCCGATGACGTTCAAATTTGGTGGCCCTTTCTTACGCTGGTTATGAGATATGGAATTTCAAAAATTGCGATTTACATTGGAATCAACGGGGCCGGAGGACGAGTTTTCCTTGATAACTCAAAAACAATAAAATAGAGTTGGGTACTTATTGACTTCGAGGCACTGATATGATCATCCACAAGTTCAAGAGCTACAACAGAACTGATTCAATTGAAAATAAAGAAACAACTTAAAATGGGACTAAGGCCGCAAATAATAAAAAGAAACATAAATTAAAATAAAAAACCCGGGACGTTTCGCAGGGATCACACCCGCATTTTCAACCGGCAAAACAAGAAAATCAAAAGAAAGACACTATGAGCCTCACCGTTGTTATTGTGAGACTTTTCTCAGTCTCACAATAGTCTTACAATATCACAATATTGTGCGACTCAGTCTCATAATAACAACGATGAGGCTCATAGTGTCTTTCTTTCGATTTTCTTGTTTTGCCGGTTGAAAATGCGGGTGTGATCCCTGAGAAACGTCCCGGGTTTTTTATTTAATTTTGTGTGTTTTTTTTATTATTTGCGGCCTTAGTCCCGTTTTAAGTTGTTTCTTCGTTAGTATTTCGGGCCGATCAAGTTGTTTTTTCATAAATTGAAAAAATAATTCGTAATAGTTCCCCATCACTTAGCACTCTCTCTGAGAAAGTTGATGTGAAGACCAGAAGACGAACTTTCGGGGTGCCCCGCCGCGGCCGCCCTAAGGCGTCATTTCACGCGGTCCCTCCTCTCCCCCTCCCCCTCCTCCCCTACCCGCCTGGTATCTAATGACTCGTCATTGTCCTCTCGCCGGTCGCACGTGGCGGCCCGACGCTCGGAAGGTGCCTTATAATAATTTGTCCTTCTCCCGTCCACAAAATTTAAACGCATACCCCGCGGCTCTCCCTTAAATAGGTGCTTTTTTCATCGAATCATTTCCCTAATCGCGCACTTAGTCATCAAAGAATCAAACGCATGACGTGAGAAATCGAATGACCCTCC